AACAGGCCCATGCTCCAAATTGGGAAAATATTAGCCTATTATCATTAGAAATAAAAACTGGATAACGTTTATAGACTATATGTTAGCAGTCAACATCTTATTCAGCGCTGCGTATTTAATTCTTATATAAGCGGTTTTTTTCAGTTAGTAGCTTATAACGAGACAATAAGGAACGAGATTTCAATCGTGTTCGTAAGTAATTTGACCTTTTTGTTTACACAAAATTCGATCTATCAAGGTAGTCAGAGCGAAGATATGCATACAGTACTTTGATAGTGTAAGGTGGACTGTCTCCGACGTCAAATAGTTCACCTACATTAAAATGCCATATATATCGACATTTATACTGGACAGCGTGTATTCATATGATGTTTTAATATAAAAGGTTCGAGAAAGACCCTATCTAGCTTGAGAATATTTAAAAGGCGTAAGGTTGTCTCTATCTTTTTAGCTTTATTTTACATTTCCAAGACATTTAACTGAAGTTGTCAACTACAGAGCTGAGTCGTCTTGTAGACTCAATAAGCCGATATAGACACCCCAAAACAAACTAGTGGCGAGAGAAAACGAGATCTAAGCCGATATAGACACCCCAAAACAAACTAGTGACGAGAGAAAACGAGATTCCGTACATAAAACTAGGCCTGATTAAGCATCGAAGCATACAAGCCAATACCCCGAGGTCCTTGTATACGTAGGCACGCTGTCCTCTACTTATAACATGTCGACCTATATCCACTGTATCAATGCAGGCGTTTGTCCCCGCACCCCTACTTATTATATTTACTGATCTTATATTATCTCTTACAGCTATTGGTTCATATGGTTGTATGTTCAGATCTCCCTATAGTACCAGATACACTGGTTAAAGCCAGATAAGGAACAGTCGCAAGGAGGCAGCTTCTGCCCATATCATATGACCGGCTCACACCATGGCTCTTAAGCTGAGCTACCGGTTTCCTACAGGAAGAGGGGTTTTCAGCTTCAGGTGACTTTTGTTTAAGGAGTAGGTTAGCGGTCATATCTGACATATGTATAACGGCAGATGACTCTTATTTTGCAAGACTAGTTTTTTAGCTCACTGGGGACGGTGTGCACAATACTTAAAAAGTAGTGTACACTGTAGACTGTGTCTAACGGTTCCAATAGTTTACCCTTATTAGATATTATGTATACTTTTATTGTGGTTTGACTGTGTCTACTAGTTATCAAACTTAACTTAATAGATATGTTTTATACTGTTGTAAAGCAAATTACTTACACTTTCACTAATTACAGATAGCAATTAAAGCGGAATCAAAAGAGTAAAAAGACAAAGAGTTATTGAGTGTAAGTTAAGTTTCTCCAAGAGTCGGTGAATAAACGTTCGAAAGCTCCAAACTGCTGTCGTCATTCCTCACTATAACAAGTGGTGGAGGAAAAATCGATCCCCGCTCTACCGAGGCAGGTGGAACGGCGATACAGTTATGGTGATGACGGCGGCAGGAGCGTAGACACCGAAGGGTTCACACCATCCACCCAAGGGCAAACATCGTCAGTGCCCCAGTGCAGCGAAAACTGAGTATGCTGGGTATTGAAAATCGCCAAAAGTCATTATCCTAGCAACAATTAGTAACTGAAAAAAGACGAAGATGTCCTCAGATTTGACTTTAGCGCCAGAAAAGTTTACTGGTAACGCAAACGAAGATGTAGAAAGATGGTTAAAACAATTTGAAAACTATACTCAGTATAAAAAACTAGAAGATGAACAAATCACCGCCTTATTTCCTCTCTTACTGAATCCAACAGTGTTAAACTGGTACGATTGTTTAACAGTGGAAGTACAAAAAGACTGGAAATCGCTTGTCCGCGAGTTCCGACAGCAATATGAACTGAAATCCGGAGAAACTTGGGAGAAAGCCTCAGAATTTTTCAAGCGTCATCAACTTCCAGAAGAACCAGTACAGAGGTACATTGAGTCGATGCGTCACGACGCCAAACGTGCGCGTTTAGATGAGGGGACGGCATTTACAGTGGTAATGAATGGGTTACTCCCCGAAATCCGCCCATTTGTATTGCAGAGGGAGCCCACAGACTTTGATTCTCTTATGCACCACGCGCGCATTGCAGAAAACGCTGTTCAGCCGACGAGAAGAGGTCAACGAAATGACATAAAAATGATAACAGAGAAAATAGACACTCTTCAGAGTTCAATTAATGACGCCGTCAGTGCACAGTCTGCAATCTATTTATTGCAAGACCCAAGTAAAACCAGGAATGAAACAAACTTTCCAACTCCAAGAAAGAGCCCTATGGACTCTCCAAGAAAATTCACTCCCAACTCCAGGCGTATGCACCAAAGCAGCAAGTATCTGCGACGCTCAGAGTACACATTAACATCAGCTAGACATACGAACTATCCTCAACAACGAAATCCGATAAGAGAATGGCCGATGTGTCAAGGATGTGGTGAGTACACACATCTTAGAACTGATTGTTTTGCTCGCAATTTTTACTGTAATTGTTGTGGTAAAATAGGACATGTAGCAAAAGTCTTAAAAAGCAGTGTGGTTTGACTGTGTCTAACGGTTATCGAACCACATTAAAACTTAACTTACTAGATATTATGTATGCCTTTATTGTGGTTTGACTGTCTACTGGTTATCATACCACATTTAAACTTAATTTATTAGATATAATGTATACTTTAAAAGCAGTTTGGTTTTACTGTGTCTAACGGTTATCAAACCACATTTAAACTTAGTTTCCATTAAAAATTCAACCATTTAAATTTTTTGATTCGTTTTATTTCAGCACTAAGAAGCAAAAGCAACAGAATTGTAATATAACTCAACAAACTTAATTACTGACTTGGACTACATAAAGCACATAACATACCATGGGTTTAAGTTGTAATTTAGGAGAGCATTCCCACATAGTTTTGGATCGATCTGTCTCCCAGGAGAGTCTCACTAAATTGCGATCAACTGGCTTAAATGTCTGCCACGCCTAGTAAAACTGTTAGGGGGTAATTATCTTTACCCTATCTGATTCAGTAGCCATGACAGACATTTAAACCTCTTGAGCTGATAGCAATTTAGTGTGAACCTCCAGGGAGTAAGGTCGATCCAGATGGATCGATATAAGTATAGGAACCCAATTTAGGACATACCACTGTGGAATTTGAGATACGGGGTGATTATATACATGTACATGTACAGGTACGTATATTGCATGTACCAGTACACTAGTAGAACTCGCACTTTTCACAAACACACTAAAAAGGATTTTAAGTTATGGATTGGAACCATGATATAGTAAGTGATGACATACTATAAACTTGGTAACTCTATAACTTGTATCATATAGATGAAAAAAGAACTTACACGATAAAACACATTTATGGTTTGGAACCATGATATATTAAGTGATGACATATTATATAGTAAAGATGGTAAGTCTATAGCTTGTCCCATAAAGATAAAAACAAGAACTTACACGATAAAACACATTTATGGTTTGGAACCATGATATATTAAGTGATGACATATTATATAGTAAAGATGGTAAGTCTATAGCTTGTCCCATAAAGATAAAAACAAGAACTTACGCGATAAAACACATGGTTTGGAACCATGATGTATAAAGAGTGATAACATACTACCGGTACATTGCAAATCTATAGCATTTCACATTAAGATTAAAAGCACATATACGATTTAAAAAGGAATGGTTTATAACATATGAATCGCATCCTTAAAAAGCAGGTCATATATAAGAAATATATATATATATATAAAAATTCATTGTTTTTTCTGCTAGTCAGTAAGTGCACAACTTTTGAACCAGAACCCTTTTTGGAAAAAATTGCATAATATGCAGCTTCGTCACCGACATCAAAACTGAACAGAAACAAACTAGCACACCATTTGCTTTCTACATTCAATACCCAAAGAATAAATAAATGAATAAATAAATAAAACTTCATTGAATGAAATTAAAGCTATGATACCCAGCAGAATTAGTGGAAGTTCTCCTCCTATACTAAGGATAATTACGTATATCACAAACAAAACCTCTGTTGATATTTAAGCATAAATATTTACCGCATAAATTTACAGCATAATAAATGTGTAGTGTAATAGTTCAGGTTAAATTGGCAAAACCTGATGCTTCTCAGAAAACACAGAAAGTTTTATAACGTTTTTATTTAAAAAAAATAAATAATAAAAAACATGGTAACGTTCTGGTAATAATATTAAACGTTTTGTGTTTCCTCGACATAATAAAATTCCAAAGAATCCCTACATGGGAAACGTGATGTATTCAAAATGGCCGCCAATTATCGTAGATACATGTATATACTAGTACACAGTGCCATACACGGTACATGACCTTAGCTTATACCACTATTTCACCCCAATATGAAATAGCTCCCGACCATTCTACATTCACATCAAAAAGAACCTTTAACGATTTACATTATGCATTTGTTCTTTTAACCCAGAGTAGTCCCGGTACATCTAGTTCACAAAAGTTAGACACTGTCACTTTTGTTCCGCTAAATATTACTGGCAATGCAAACTATGCGTGTTAAACCTTTAAAAAGAGAGGGAACCAATATCTCCTGCTGGTTTTAATAATTGCTCCATTCCTGATTTCAATTGTTAAGAGAATTGACATCTATACCTAATAAACCCGTTTTCTGGTAAAAAAAGTAATCTATAATCAAACATGTATCATTGGTTGAGTGGCTAAAATTTAGAATAAAAATAGAAATAAGAATTAATGCACAATACGGTGTGACACGTGTTACGTGGAGTATGAGAGAGTTATAAGTAGATAAACAAGATCAGTAGGCCTCGCATTGAAATAAAAACACAATCCACAAGAAGCCTACACCACCCGTGCAGTTTCACAAGATGATCGGGCAATGAATGTAATTAATAAAACAAGCAATAAACAATTAAGTATGCCAGACCCTGGTGTAATCTTAAGATTATTTGAGACGTTTGCGACTCAATTACAAAAAATCACGTCACATTGACTGACATCCACTTATCGGTTTTGTGGGCGAAGTTTAGTTGTCAAATGCCGGACCTCGTCTCGTAAAACTTCATTCTCATCTCGCAAAATCTCGTTCTTTTCTCGTAAATCAGCGTTCTCGTCTCGCAAAACCTCGTTCTCGTGTCGAAGTTGACCATACGTCGGAGTGTCTCTTGGTCCTGTTTAAAAAAGAAACAATATCACAAAATGTTAACACGCTTCTTCCTTTTAAAGTGTCAAGATAGATACATTATGGTCACCTAGCCCCTGAGGTTTTAAAAAATAGACCATTCCAACAAAAGAAAAAGCTTAATTGATTAACAAGATACCTTTTATAGCTTCCAAAAACATCGGAATGAGCTCTTCATCGTCGAAAAGAATATATTTCCAGATGCTTAATTCCCCAGGGATTTCCTCAGGCGCCATGTTCATTACAACAGGAATGACGACATGCCCTTTAGACTTTCTAGCATTCTGTATGATATACTGCAACTCCAACTGACACCAATCACTCTGGATAAAACTCTTGGACAGGAACACGATGGTATGCCTAGATGAACTGACAGCCTCAATAATGGAAGTAATCACATAGGTTCCAAGTGCAAGGTCTTCTTTGGCGTAAAAACACTGGATTCCACATTCCTTTAGCTGGTGCAGAACTGGTTCTATGGTGGCTTCATCCTCACCGCTGTATGCAATGAACGCGTCGTGGCGGTATTGATCCAAAGGCAAACTGCAAATGTGAAACACAACGTGATTGTCAACTTACAAACACAATAATGTACCTTACCTGTACGTGCACATGTATGCAAATAAAGGTCACAGTCGTTTGGGTAGAGTCTCCTGAATTCTTAAATATGTTGTTTAAATGCATTCATGCCTATTTAAATGCTAGCAATTCCCATTAATTCCAGTAACAATTAATTGCAGCAAAAACTTCGGAAAAAATATTCCATCACCTTGCACCATGACTAAATATACACTCACCTAGTATCGTCCAGAGCACAGATTGATGAACTTGGTGTGTTCTGGCACATGGACTTCGCAGTGGTCAGGGTTCTACAGAGTGATTCAAATTCATTGGGAGACATGTCTGAAATGTTCGTCACCATCGCAGCATAATACTGTACTGCTGCACCTGTATCGGAAAAAGTTAAGTAGATCTTAAGTACAGTGACAAATGTAGAAATCGGGTCCGATGTGTTTTTTTTTATATTCACTCAGTTAATGAACAAATTTTGGACACGGTATTAGTGGTTTTAGCGTATATGACAACAGCGCCTATCATGGAGTCATACGCAAGTAAATATAAAGGCATTTGACATTAGTTTCTGCCATCTTTGTAGAAATACCTTGGCCAAATAAAATTTACATTTCGTTAGGACACGAAAAACACAAAGCAAAATAAGGGAAAAAAATCCTTGTTACAGTCACACATCCATGCATGTAGATGTTTACATTTGTTGCTATGTTTTACTCTCATCTCTTTTTTACCTTCAATCTTAAAGTTCGGTTACTGTTGCATCGAGGTTATGGAATAAGATAAAATGGATCGAAATAATAGGTGAACATACGTTGATTACTTACTGGACAGTCGCGGAAGGTTAGCAGCCAAAAGGCCATCCCATATATCTTTAATAGTGGTACGATTGTTCTTGGCAATCCAATCTTTTATTCCTTGAATTTTTTGGAATTGAAAAACATCAGGACAGTTCGGGTTTAAGTTGGTCAGGTTAAATCCGCTATATTCTTCAGGGTCTAATATTTCAGCAAGGTATTCCAAAGTTCTGGTTTGAATGTGTACCTGTAACGAATCAACAAGGCTTAATGTTTTCCAGAAACTAGTATAAGGCAAAATAGCTTCATGTATGCTACATATATGAAGGCACCTGCGGTTATGCCAATAAATTTAGCTCCCAACGTTCTGTATTCTGGGACTCTGCATAAAGTATAATATATTCCTTGTATATTAATTCATGTATCAAATGTCCCCATGATATATCTTTCAAGGAATGGAACACGTGACGTTCAAAAACACTAATAAAAATATATACACGGTAAGCCTACAAAATAGTAACTAAAATGATTCTGAATATGAAAAATATTTTTACTATTAAAGCTCAATTCATCAAAATCCAATATGCGTTTAACACTTCCACACTGGTACATATACCTGTATGTCTGGTATTTCAAAACGCCTCAGCAGTTCAACTACGGCAATGTGCTCTTTTTCTTCTGCCAACATTCTTGGTGTCTTTTTCTTCTGCGATATATATAAAGAAATTATTATGAACTATAGGGGACAAAATTGAAACCGCTTTATACAGACCGGTGAAAAGTGTTTTCCAGCACTCCCCTAATTTTAAAGATACACCATCCTTGTACATACCTAGAGATGTTACGGTATGTGACCATGGTAATATACTGCTTATTTGCCCTAAAGTGTGTTTCAGAGTGAAATGCCAGGTCTTTCTCTCAATGTCACATAATGTGCTACGACTTTAATGAGGTGTTCTGGCATATATCGCTAGGATGACAGTGTGTTATCTCACATACATACCATTCAGATTAAATACATATGCATGACTTACAGTACATGTATGTTGCTAAAATACTTAAACATGAAATGCTTTTTCATGTACATCAATACAAGTAATGAACTACAGACTAAAGAATAATGCGATAAAGAAATAATTGTTTTATGTAACTCGAGAAAATAAAGCGGAGCCACGTTATGATATATATTTCGACAATTCTACACTCACTTCATCCTGTATACCGGTATCCGCCCCGTGTTGGAGGAGAAGCTGGACACATTGTGTGTGGCCGTTAATTACAGCCCAGTGAAGTGGTGTCCTCCCATCCTGTGGATATGTACAAACAATGTGATTAAACACATAATTCAAGCGCTGAATAAAAAGTATTGGGTTTGATGACAAGGATTACCTGAAAAACAAATGCTGGGTGCTGTTTCAATATCAAGTTTGGCTTCTGCATAGAGACCGGCTCAACAGCCCAGTGTTACAGTGGTTTAATAAGATTGTGGTTTCAATTTGTCAATTCTCTGTAAAATACTAATAAATAATGAATATTTAATAACATAACTTTGCTTGTACTTCTGTATTTAACATATCCACTCTTCAAACGTTATTATCACTGCACTACCGGAGACATTGTTTTATTTTACGATGTGCTTTTTGTTGATTAATTCGTTCATGAAAAAAGACTTGGCCAAGATAATGTAAACCAATAATGTTTCTTCTCACAAATTAAGGAAAAATGTAACTGTGCGTGAACGTAGCCATACTGCTGTGTTCTAACTATTCTACACCCACCCTATCTTGTATACTGGTATCCGCCCCTTGTTGGAGGAGAAGCTGGACACATTGTGTGTGACCGTGATCTGCAGACAAGTGAAGTGGTGTCATCCCAGCCTGTGAATATGTACAAACAATGTGATTAAACACATATATTTCAAGTATCGTAGAACAATGTATTGGGTTTGGTGACAAAGCTTAACTGAAAAAAAAAAAAAATGATCGGTGCTGTGTTAATATTAAATGTGACCTCTGTATTGGGCCTGTATTAACAGCTCAGTGATGAAGTGGATTAATAAATCATCACTTCAGTTTGTCGATTCGTATGTAAAGTATTGAAAGCAATAATGGATATTAAATAAAATAACTTTGTTTGTACTTCTATATTTAACATCACACTTCAAATGTAATTATACTTAACGAACTGCACTACTGAAAACATTATGCCGTGTACTATTTTACAACGTGCTTTATGTTAATTTATTCATAAATGAGAAAAGACTTGGTCAAGAGAATGTAAACCACAATAATGTTTCTTCTCACAACTTAAGGAAAAATGACAATGTGCATAAATGTATAGCCGTACTGCTGTGTTCTGACTATTCTACACTCACCCTATCCTGTATACTTGTATCGCCCCGTGTTGGAGGAGAAGCTGGACACATTGCGTGTGGCCGTTAACTGCAGCCAAGTGAAGTGGTGTCTTCCTTAGCTGTGGATAAGTAGAAACAATCTGATTAAACANGACGATTTCCCCTAATTTCATATTAATTGTCAATCACAGTATAAATTTATGTTTAATTTTTCACTTGGTACTGTTATGTAAAAAAGCACTCTTTTGGGGGGCATGAGAAAAAAAACCTAAATAAATTAACTCTTTTTATTCACATTTGCTTTGTTTGTGTCTCCTTGACTTTACCAATCCTCCAGCTTCATATATTTAACAATATAAGCAGTATTAATTTGATAATATCAATAATAATGAAAGAAACAGGGTGATATGCATCCCAAACTTTCCGTGTACCAACCATTTTGGGCAAGAGTGTATATTAGTATGATATATAGTATATATAATCATCTATTGCGTTTTCCACTAGTCAGTGAGTGCACATTTACCCTGCCGCCATAACCCTTTTTTGATATGAATCGGATAATTTGCAGCTTTATCACCGACAACAAAACTGACCACAAACGAGCAGAATACATTGCTATCAGCATAACATACCCAGTATAAAGTGTTGTGTACACATACGACAAAAATAAATAAATAAATACATAAATAAATCAATAACAAAAAACGTCACTGTGTGAAATTAAAGCTACAATACCAAGCAGAATTAGTGAAAGTTCTACTCCTACACTAAGCATGATTACGTATATCACAAACAAAACCTTTGTTGATATTTAAGCAGTAAGCGTAGAATTTACAGCATAAATTGACAGCATAATAAATGTATACTCAAATAGTTCAGGTTAAATTGACAAAGCCTGTGGTGAACCTGGTCAAAATGGCAACATATTTATTACATTGAAGCTTCTCAGAAAACACAGAACGTTTTATAACGTTTTTATGAAAAAATAAAAAAGAGAAAAAAAATCCAGGTAACGTTCTGGGAATGATATTAAATGCTTTGTGTTTGCTCCATATGCTAAAATCCCAAGAAATCCCTACATGTGTTCACAAAGAATAATATATATATATATATATATATATATATATATATATATATATATATATATATATACACAAAACATCATAAGCATGTATTGATCACTTATCGTATCATATGACTTACATCAGGCATTTGTTTTTTTTTTTAATCCAGAGTGGTCCTAGTACAGTACATCTAGTTCACAAAAGCTAGACACTGTCACTTTTGTTCTGCTTAACATTACTGGCAATGCAAACTATTGTGTTAGACCTTTACAAAGAGAGGGAACAAATATTTCCTTCTGATTTTAACAATAGCTCCATTCCTGACTTAAACCGTAAGGAGAATTGGCATCTATACCTAGTTAACCTGTTTTCTGGTAAAAAAAAAGTAATCAATAACCATATCATTGGTTCAGTGGCTAACATGAAATTTAGGAATAAGAATGCAGAATACGGCGTGACACGCGTAACGTGGAGTATAGATAAACAAGATCAGTAGGCCTGGCATTAAAATAAATACACAATCTACAAGAAGACTTCATCACTCGAGCAGTTTCACAAGATAATTATACATTACATTTAAGTACACCCGACCCTGGTGAAACCCTAAGATCATTTGAGATGTTTACGGTTCATGAGTACCAATTACATAAAATCACGTTACATTGACTGACATCCACTTATCGGCTCTGTGGACGAAGTTTAGCTGTCAAATGCCGGACCTCGTCTCGTAAAACCTCGTTCTCATCTCGCAAAACCTTGTTCTCGTCTCGCAAAACATTGTTCTCGTGTCGGAGTTGGCCATACGTCGGAGTGCTTCGTGGTCCTGTATTAATGAAAGATAAGCATTATATATGTGCAAAACTAAAAAAAATCATTATCACAAAATATTAACACGTGCCATTCTATTAAAAAGTCAATGTAGAAACATTATATTCAATCTAGATGGAAGGTTAACAATACGTAGAATCATGCCCTCCATTTATAGCCAGTATGACAAATTACCTATACGAAGATAGAGCTTAAGGAAATAGTCACTGTGCTTACCTGGTTATGTGAGATTTTTTTAAATAATAGACCAATCCAACAAAAGATAAAGCAAAATTGAATACCTTTTATAGCTTCCAAACACATCGGAATG